AAATAAAGCTGCTGGAATGGCCCAGCCAATCAGCTGACTTGAATCCAACAGAAAATCTATGGAAAGATCTAAAGATCAGAGTTCAAATAAGAGACCCACGAAATCTTCAAGATTTGAAGACTGGGCCAAAATCACACCTGAGCAATGCATGCGACTAATTTCTCCATACAGGAGGCGTCTTGAAGCTGTCATTGACAACAAAGGCTTTTGTACAAAGTATTAGATAAATTTCAGTAAGTGTGTTCAATACTTTTTCCCTGTGCCTTTCCACATTATTACAAATAAATTCATTTCTGGACATTTATGGTTTGATTTCTTTATATATATGGATCACTTGGGTTGTTACCAACATCTTTTGAAAATTTCATGTCATTAGCACCTCTAGTAATATATTTACTGAGAAAAATTGGTGATGTGTTCAATTCTTATTTTACCCGCTGTATTTGAAAAGATCCAGTCTGCTAAGTATGGAACTTTCCAAGCCGAAGGGACCACCAACATTTTAACCACGCTGTGAGTGGTGAGATATGAGGTGCGCCATGCAGTGTGCTTCTTCAAAGACTGAAGGTACGTTTTTCCTCTCAGTCCTTACAAGAAAAAAATAAAATAAATATAAAAAATTCAGAGTGGCATGTGATGGAGGTGGTGTAATAAATGAACAGCAGGTTGTATTTTAAGGTAACCTGATGACACTTTCATTCACTTTCTTTATGTAGACATATGATTATTCATGAATACTCCTTTTGCAGTCAGTAACAGGCAGAATGGGATTTATGTCTCTAAGTAGTTAACATTTTTGAACTGAAAAACAGGACATTTACAGTATATACATGAAAAGCAATCATTAAATGAATGTATCCCTTAACAGATCATTTTATCATCATACCAACAACTACATACATTAGAAGGAAGTTACTGTTAAACAAGGCAACAGATCATTATAATTAATGATGTTTTGTTTATTCTACAAACAGTTATTTTCTTGTTTGTTTCTACTCAAGGATTTTGAACAGGAAAACACATTCCAGCAGAGACATATTCATTTGATTTTAGTCTGTGCTACATTGCGTAAAAGCACAACTAGATGATGCCATTAAAGTAACAAGAGATGAAGTATAACTTCTTTTGAAGAAAAGCCTTCCACATCAGTCATATAATCACTGAGCCAATCTAAGTAATCACTTTTTTATTGTTTACTGTCTCTTATTTTGCATCTGTAATTAACTCTGCAATCAAGATTTTTTTTCACAGTCCATTTTAATTGAGTTGCAATCACAGCGAGATTAGCAATAATTTTGACTGCAACATCTGTAGCTTTGATTAAAGCCTACCTCTAAATAATTCAGTGGTATACAAATGAATTTTTTACAAGCCTTACATCTGTGATAAGACTTTAATAACAGTTCTTAAGTCGCTAATAACTTTTCTTGTCGTTCCCAAGAGAGTTAAATTGATATTTCTAGCGTGAAGGAACAATTTGCTGTAATGAAACACATTCATGAGTGGTAACTAATAACACTTTACATACTTGATGGTCTTTCTGTTCATTCAGGGTGTTTTGTTTGGTTTCTTTACCTCCTCTTGTCTGCCAAGTTAAACACAAATTTAAGATTTAAAATAGTTTCAATCTCAGAATGTTTGTACAGCATTTGAAATACCTTTTGCTTGTCCCTAGTAGTTTTTTTTATATAGGTGTGAAATTAGTAAATGTGAGTAATAGAGTTTTCCCTGAGAAAAAGTGCTTCAATTTGTTAGTAGTTATTTTATTTTTCTTGGAATATTCAACCAGTTTTTTTTTCCCCACCGAGTAGCATGTGTGGGCAGAAGGTGTTCTGTCAAAAAATGTACCTCAACTAGAAAAGAAAACAACTTGGTATGTTACGATTAGATGTTGATTATTTTAAGTATGTATACAGTATTTTGAAAATGGAAAAGCCACTGCCCATTCATACTGCCTTTGTAAATGAACACTTATTTTTATTATTATTATTTTCATCTGCATGTCAATCTAAGCCTTGGGAAATATTAGAGCTGTGAATCTTTATTGGTCTTACAATGCTATTGTTTACAGTTCTTCAGCTAATGATTTGACACATCTAAAGGTTCACTTCAATTCATCTCTATGGAAACAAATATTAGTCTTATGTATTTTGTACTCGTAAAACAGACTTTGTACTTGTAGATTAAGATTTGTACCTTCAGGATATGTAAATAGGAATGTGTGTGTGTGTGTGTGTGTGTAAAATAGAGTTGTATCTGTAAAAATAATATTTGTATCTGTAAAAACAAGATTTGTATCTGTAAAAAATATTTACACAAGTTACAGTCTTTTTTTGTTAAGGTCTGTTTACAGGTACAAAGCAAAAAACTACATGTAAATCTCTCTGCTCAAGTTCAAAACTTRCATGTGAGTTTCACTTTACAAGTCCGAAATCTGACCCYGTTTTTCTGCCTCCAGCTGATTGGTCAATGTCTTGTCAATCAGATTTATCAGCCAATCAGAGAACAGATGGGTTTGGCTGTCGTGCCTGCACTTCTACTCAGATATACAGTATAACTGTGTTGTGTTGCTATTGGATCATTTCAGTCCAGTTCAGTTTTTTCTGTTTAGATATAGACAAAATTATACAACGTGACCCCCGCTACAGCCCSGTCCAGGGAAACTCTGTTCATTTTTCTGATGTACAGTACTTTGTTACCCATCCATGGAAGRAGAAACAAAAATATGAGGAATAATAGGAGGAATGATGTGGACTTCTTCTGCCTGGCACCTTTTTTAAACTTCTCTGCACGTGGCAGTGTGCACAGCTACAGTGCATGTGTTCAACCAGGAAGTGTTCATCATTAAAGTCAAGGTAAGAACCACGTAGTTAGTGGAAAGAAATGGAAACCAGATGTTTTGACTTGGATGTTTACAGAAATATTCATTTATCATATTAATGTATTGTTGACTGAATAATGAAACAGCACTCAGATGATAGTAAAATAAACACATCMCAACATTTGAGTGAAAATAAATGTTTGGGTCAGATACAGAGATACTGAGTATTTAATGTTTATTACATCATGTCCAGAAATATATTTATGCTACAGCAATTGCTCTAAATTATATCAGCTCACAATTATTTCTGATACAAAACTCTTTCTGCCATTAATGAATGAAACACCTGAATTCTGTTTCAGAGTTTAAGTCTTTACAAGACTGTCAGATTATTTAATCTGAACTCTGTTAACATGAGATCAAAAATGTTAAATGTATTTGACAAATGTCTATTTACAACCACTAATGTTATTCACATCCTAATATTTTAACATTTAGCAAAATTACTGCATTTTTTCATTATTTGTAAATTATTTTCACTGGTCTGTTTTTTATGTTTGTCAATAAAAAGCATATCAGAAATATTTTAACTGTTTATTTTCAAGCCTACAC